AATCCTTTGGTTTAGGACTCGAAGTGGAAGTTAGTCAGTCTTGCCCAAAGATTCAAGTATCTGTTAATCTGTGATGCATTTTTATCTATCTGACTTAAGGGGAGCAAGCAGTTTTCTGTATGACTCAGTTATTCATGTGGTGGTTTTCTGGCTTCCCCATTCCAGTATCTTAGCAGATAAAGTAAACTATTTTCCCTCACTCCTCTCCTCCATTTTCTGCAAATATTGACAGAGTATGGGAGAGATAAAACATAATCTGTGAACTCTTCAATGTAATCAGTAGTGGGCCAAGCAACAAACATGTACCTAAGTGCCTTTGACTATGTGGGCATTAGGGGAGAAGAGTGTTCTATTTTGACTTACATGGAGATGATGTGTCAAACATTCCAAATGGACATTATTTTGACTAACTCTGCAAATAGCTTTAATGGGTACACAAAGTGTACTAGGCTCTGTTATGTGCGTTATTGGGTGCTTTAATTTAATGCTTCTCACATTTTAAAAAGGAAAGCATTGAAAAAATTAAATTTGCATGACTCACACATGTACACACGTATGTAACAAAACTATTAAAAAATAGCATTGCTGCTTGGAATATACTCTGGAAATTTCTGCTCGTTTCTTTATATGCAAAGAAAACAGGAGCCATTATAACTAAAGTAATTAAAAGTCCATAAGTAGGTCATAACAGATGCACATGTTTAATCCTCACAGAACTTGAAATGAGTGGTGATATTTCCATTTTACAGACGTAAAGGACTTGAGTCTAGGCCATTGGAGTTCAGAAGCTATATGTTGAACCACTAAACTACATATGGATTTTGTTGGGTGTCTTTCCTTGCATGGTGACAGTGTAGGTTAAGGAATTTAAAATATTAAGTACTAAAAATTTCAGGTGAAGCTTGACCCTAATTAATCTTATTAAATAAAAACCCAGAGTCAGAAACTAGGGTGAAAGCTGAAAGATCAGAGAAGCAGAGCAGCCAGACACTTCTTAACCTCTTTGAAATCTCAGACTGAATGTGTGGGGCTCCTGTCTTTACGAATCCTCAGACTGAATGGTCCTGACTCCACTCGCATTATATTCCTGTCTCTACCTCTGTAGTAGTGGGATTAAAGGTGTGAGCTACCACTGCCTGGCTCTGTTTCCTTTTAGACCGTTTCTTGGTAGCTGAGGGTGGCCTTGAACTCCTGATCATCCTGCTTCCCTCTCCCAAGTGCTGGCATTAAAGGTGTGTGCCACCACTGTCTGGCCTGTATGATTAATTAGTGGCTAGCTCTGACCTCTGATCTCCAGGCAAGCTTTGTCAGAACACAAACAAAATATCATACAACAGTCAGGCAGTAGAGGCAGGCTTGGTGGACTACATCTTTGATCTCAGCACCCTGGAGGCAGAGGCAGGAGGATCTCTGCAAGTTTGAGGCCTGCCTGGCTTACATAGTGAGTTCCAGGACAGTCATGGCTCTGTTTCAAAACAAAATCAGGTAACAAAAGGATGAAATGTAATATAATGAGAGAGTGTCCTAATTCAGAAAATTCTGGTTCTGAATTTGACAATTTTAAAGCTATTAACTCAGGGTTAAGAGGTGGCTTAGCAGTTAAGAGCGCCCCTTTTCCAGGGTACCTGCCTCTTCCAGGATACCAGTGTTGGATACTGAGAACCCACGGGGTTGCTTTGTTTTTTGTTTGTTGTTGTTGTGGGTGTTCTGCCGTCTTCTTGCGTCTGGAGAAACCAGGCATGCAAGTGATGCACAGACATGCATTCAGATAAAAATACCCATACGCATAAAAAGAGCCAGGCGGATCTCTGAGTTCCAGGGCAGCCTGGTATACAGAGCGAGTTCCAGGATAGGCAGGGCTACACAGAGAAACCCTGCCCTGAAAAAAACCAAAAACAGAACAAAACTAATACATTTAAAGTCTGCTAAGGCAGAAAAGACTTAAAAATAGATTCAGGATGAAAAGTCTGATTTGGTTAAGTTTCTTAATTGTAATATTTATATGTATTTTATATTAATTATATATATTTATAAATCAGGAAATATTTCATTTCCTTTATTTTTTTTGGTTGGTTTGTTTTTGTTTTTTCGAGACAGGGTTTTTCTGTGTAACTTTGGCTATTCTGGAGCTAGTTCCAGAATACCACCACTGCCAGGCTGATTTCATCTTTTAAAAAGAAAGTTAATTATCTATCTATCTATCTGTTTATTTATTCTTTTGTTTTTTTCTAGACCGGGTTTCTCTGTGTAACAGTGCTGCCTGTCCTGGGTCTTGCTATAGAGTCCAGGCTGGCCTCGAACTCACAGAGATCCACCTGGCTCTGCCTCCCAAGTGCTGGGATTAAAGGCATGTGCCACCACCACCTGGCTAATTTTTATTTTATGTGAGTGTTTTTGCTTACATGTATGTAGGTGTGTCCTGTGTGTGAAGTGCCTGATGAGGCCAGAAGAGGATGTTGATTCCCCAGACCTGTGTCCTACCTCTGGGACTCGCTAGCTGAGAGACTTGTATAACTCAACTGTTCGGGCCTAAGTGTTCCCATCTATAAAACAAAAGGGCAGCTAATTCCAAGCTCTTGGATTTTGTTTGGGGGCGGTACTGTTCCATGACATTGCTTGTGTATCCTTTTGGGGAAGGGGGCAGTTTTACCTCACATTGAGCACATTCTTTACTTCCCTTAGATCCACACTCCATGTTCTGAGGAGCCGCCTGTGAAGTTACTGAGATAATGGAGCAATGGACTGGATAGTCCCCTGTATATCATCCATGATTCCTCTCAAATTCAAGTGACCACAGGCTGGTTAAGGGGCTTAACGAATCTGGGAAGGTGAGTCAGGCCTAGACTTTGTAAGTTGAACCACAGGATTTATGCTCCATTCAGAGGGATGATTTTTATTTCCTCTTAGCTTATCTTGACATGCCACATAAACCCTTTGATAGTGAATTTACATTATTTAAGTATCACAGACAGCCTTGCCGTTCAACTGTTATTAAGTGTGCACTTCACAGAAGAGCTCTCTGTGGGTGGGAAAAGACTTACTGAAAGTTGGATAGCTTGTTAGGACTTGAGGTAAGTCTCCTGACTCCTGGCTGTCGCTTGTTCTTTTTCTCTATGCCTGTGGCTGACTAGACAGTAGAAAAGTAGTACTCGAACTCAGAAGAGTGGCTGCTAGAATGACCTCAGGCCCTTGGCTTTTGGGGTTAAGTGTTCAGAGACTCTTCTTCCCGTGTGTGTGTGTGTGTGTGTGTGTGTGTGTGTGTGTGTGTGTGTGTGTATGTATGTTTGTGTTTTCAAGACAGTGTTTCTCCATGTAGCCCTTGCTGTCCTGGAACTCATTTTACAGACCAGGATGACCTCAACTCACAGAGATCCACCTGCGTCTGCCTCCTGAGTGCTGGGATTAAAGGCGTGCGCCATCATACCTGGCTTTGTATTCCATATTCTTTTTTTTTAATGTGCATTGGTGCTTTGCCATATGTCTTGAGTCCCCTGAAACTGGAGTTACAGAATCCAGTTGTGAGCTGCCATGTGGGTACTGGGAATTGAACCTGGGTCCTCTAGAAGAGCAGTCAGTGCTCTTAACTGCTGAACTATCTTTCTAGCCCCTATTGTTGTTTTGAGGTAAAAGTCCCACTATGTACTCCAGGCTGGCTCAAATTTGTAATTTTCCTACCTTACACTGTTAAGTGCTGGAATCTGACCAAGCTGGCTCCTTATGTATTTCTTAGTTATTTTTGAGACAGGGACAGGGTTCACTATGTATCCCTGGCTGGCCTGGAACTTGCTATGTAGACCAGGCTGGTCTTGAACTCACAGAGATCTACTTACCTCTGCCTCCCAATGCTGGGATTAAAAACTTGTGTCAGTATGTCACACTCACTTTTATCTTTTTAAACATTTATTTGTAGCCAGGCAGTGGTGGCATACCCCTTTAATCCTAGCACTCAAGAGGCAGAGGCAGGTGGATCTCCGAGTTTGAGGACAGTCTGGTCTACAGAGTGAGTTCTAGGACAGCTAAGGCTACAGAAGGAAACCTTTTCTTAAAACCACCCCAAACCCCGCCCAAAATTTTTTTACGTGTGTGTGTGTGTGTGTGTGTGTGTGTGTGTGTGTGTGTGTGTATGCTCATATTTGTGCCAGTGCCTGTAGAGACCAAAATGGTGTCAGATTTTCTGGAGCTAGAGTTACAGGCTTTTATGAGCCTTTCAGAGTGGGTGTCGGGCTCTAAACTCTGGTCCTCTGATAGAGCAAAAGTGTTTTTAACCATCAAGCCATTTCTCTGTCCCCTATTTCATTTTTATTTAAAATAACTTTCATGTATACATACCTGCCCACACATAGTTAAAATATAATTACTCTAAAAAATCCTTTTTATTTTGATTATGTGTATCTGTGTGGGTTTGTATACATCAGTGCAGTGCCCACAGAGGCCAGAATAAGTTATTGGGTCCCCAGAAGCTAAAGTTACAGGCAGTTATGCACTAACTGATATGGGTGCTGAGGTTGAATTCAGGTACTCTGGAAGAATAATATACACTATTATACTGAGCCATCTCTGTATTCCTTAAAAAACTTTAAAAACTTTATTTTTGTGTGTATATGAATGCCTACTTGTCTGTATGCACACCGCACATGTACAGTGCCTGCAGAAGCCAGAAGGTGTTGGGTTTCCTGGAACTGGAGTTACAAGAGGCTGTGAACTTCCCATTGTGGATGCTGGGAATTGAACTCGTGTCCTCTGTAAAAGCAGAAAGTGCTCTTAACCTGTGAGTGTTTTTGCTTACATGTATGTAGGTGTGTCCTGTGTGTGAAGTGCCTGATGAGGCCAGAAGAGGATGTTGATTCCCCAGACCTGTGTCC